ACACTCATTTATTGATGTCATGTGCACAAAAGACAAAGAAACTATAAGCCACGACATGTGTTTTCTAACTACATTATATTGATTCATAACCTAGTCAGTGTGAGACCGTGAAGATCCGGGTTAGAATTGATCTTCTGTAACCCAGTAACCATACTCGTAAGAGGCGACTAACAGGCTCGGGTGGTCAGGGCCGCTGACACATTCTGTTGATCACTGGGTTGTCTGGTCCGCAGTCGATTTTTTACAGACTGCCGCCATATAGCTGAAATATTGCTGAGAGCGCACAAAACAATCATTCACTCACTAGTCAGTGTGAACTTCCCTAGGGGGAACTGGGGTACATGTGACCCTATATTCCCGTTTCTGGTGGTATGAGGTGACCGAATTGGGCAAGCTGTTTGCCTTGACCTCTGTGTCGGTAGAGGAAGGGGTCTGAAAAGAGGGTCCTGGAGTCTTTTCCTTTAGTATAATACTTTGACATTAACTTTACCTGGTTTTGGTTCTCTAAATCGGTTGTTCATGCCATGCCGTGTGCACGGTAAACTCTATACTTGGAATATACATACCAGTATATGCTCACACGTTACAACAAATAAATAGTTGATGGCAGCATATGGGCCCGTCTGGCATCCCTGACTTCAGGCTCTTAATTGTCTTCAGAAAACTGCCGCGGATGGACCAGGCCTGGCATTTGCTCTGTAGAATGTTTGTAATCGTGATTAGCATTGTGTGGTTTAGTCAGTTTCCACTACACCATCGCCATTGTTGACGCTTCATGGTAGGTGGGAATAAATTGTCTTTCATTATTGATACACAACAACTTGGTTCTCGCTAGAAATACACATCGAAAAGGTATCTCAACACTTAGGATTGTTAACCCCCGACCTTCATCCATATGGCCATTTATTTTTATATCATGATCGTGCAATTGTTTGATTGTTTCGGGCGAGCCACAATCCTTGGGTCATCTGTAAATATGGATTGGTATGTATTATATTTACGTTTTAATTGATTAAATTCCTGTTTATATTGCAATTAATTCGTTTCTGAGTTTTTAAATGCGGCTAATGTTAGGTCGACCACGCACACGGCAAGTTTCCGTGCTCGTCATGTTGCTCATGCTGCTCGTCATACTGCTCATGCTATCATCATTGCTCGTCTTGTTGATAATTCTATTAAGCTATCATGCTATCATGCACTGCTCGTCTTGTTTATAATATTATCAAGCAATGCTCGTCTTGTTGCTCATGCTATCAAGTACTGGTCGTCATGTTGCTCATGCTATCATGCATTGCTCGTCTTGTTGATAATTCTATTAAGCAGTGCTCGTCATGTTGCTCATGCTATCAGGCACTGCTCGTCTTGTCGATAATAAGCTATTAAGCAGTGCTCGTCTTGTTGCTCATGCTATCAAGTACTGCTCGTCTTGTTGCTCATGCTATCAAGTACTGCTCGTCTTGTTGATAATTCTATTAAGCATCGCTCGTCATGTTGCTCATGCTGTCATGCACTGCTCGTCTTGTTGATAATTCATTGCGGTGCTTGTCTTGTTGATAATTCTATTAAGCGGTGCTCGTCTTGCTCATGATATCAAGTTGCTCGTCTAATTCATTAATCAAGTGCTCGTTATGTTGTCTTGCTATCAAGCACTGCTCGTCTTGTTGATAATTCTATTAAGTACTGCTCGTCTTGTTGCTCATGCTATCAAGTACTGCTCGTTATGTTGTTCATGCTATCAAGCACTGCTCGTCTTGTTCATCCTATCAAGCACACATGTGTACATGATCATTCTGTCTAAAATCCTGCTATTCTCGCAATTAAATACTGTGTTCACAAGCACTTGCAAATTAGTGAGTGAGTGAGTGAGTTATTATTTAACGTCACATCGGCAATTTTTCAGCCATATCGTGACGAGAACATACTTGACATTGAAGTGGAATATATGTATATTATAAAAACCTGTCGACGAAGGACAGTAAAACAAACTTGAAAATTAACCTGTCCAAATGTTTTGTGGAACTTGCGTTTCTTTCGTGGTTGAGTGTACGCTGACATATTAAAGTAGAATATCCGCATTAAAAGGTTTGACTTGAATGCTTGGCTGACATGAAATCACTGGATTACGATACATCGGATCCCTACACACACATCACTACAGATCTCCCAGATCATGTTATCAAAGCTGGGTTATAGTGATGGGACTCAAACAAAGCATGTGTTGTTACAAGATGTGGCAAGACAGCATCCTTTACATCAGTCATGAAGCCTGTACAATGCCTTCTCATCGAAACAAGAATTAATACACAAAATCTTGACCATCACCTTCAGATGTGGGAAAGCCATTGTCTGATCTTATCTAATGCACCAATAAGATCAGCTCACAATCATCAACAGAGAGTACCAAGAATGAAATTTCTGTAGCATTTCTTACGAATATACTCCCACTGAATCTCAAAACCATCATTATTCTCCTCTAACCATGAATCATCTATGTTGCAGTTCCGGGTATAGACCACAACTGTTCCCAAAACCTTACATTAGAATACGTAGTGGGTCCTGTTGCATCAAATTGTCTGTAAAATTGTTATTATTATTATTATTTTAGTGTACAGATTAAGACAAATATGCAGCAGCGAGAGTGATCATGGTAGCCAGGCTTGTAACGCTCCTTACCAGCCCGGTACCCTTGGTCCCTCTACACGCAGTTCAGACAGCAAATGGGACGCCTCCCAGGAAGCGATGCCTATTCGAAACCACCAAGAACCTTCCAGAGAAAATGGAGACTCCCCAACACTTCAGCCATTTGTACTACCCAGATTGTCAGAAGGGATGTGGTGCCGTCGGAGGACCGGGGCACTCACCTCATATGTGCCAAGATATCTCGAAGTACAAAACCAGGGGCACCGAGAAGAATAGATGATCTGACGACGATTTGACCACAACCGCGTACAAAACCGTTCACTTAAAACCATATTCTACCATGGCTACGTGAAATGATCGATTTTGATTGGTCAATCAATAAAATTAGAGGCTATCAATTCTGGATTGAAAATTCGTCTGATTTCATGACCGCTTCACTGCGCACGTATACAACACTGCCGCATCAGCTTGACCACCAACATGGCTAATATCAACACAACAGACGTGATGGAAATGCTAATAAAACATTTATTAAACTCGAAAATACAATTATTATATGATTTTTCCCCACAATTATTAGGGAACCTCACTATTATATAACCTTCTTTAATAAAAATATTCAAACTATATTACAATACACAGCCCCCAACATAAACAAACAGTATCTAACATGTAAATCAGAAAGCCTTGTAAATGTCATCCCTTTCTATACTAAATGTGCAGCAAATCCTAACTAAACATTTACCTACCTGGTAAATGATGTATTTGTTTCCATTTAGAATCATAAGAATGGGAAATTCGCAAGATAACGGTCAGGCGAAACACAAAATTAATGCCACTCACACTCCGTCATGCCCCGTTGCATCGTTCAAAAAATACATGTAAAAACTTGAACCACCAGAATTCCGCTCTCTGCCAGCTTCCCCACAAGGCTGTCACTGCTGGTGATCTATGTTCGTACACTTTGAAAAACGTTTGGCCACAATCCAGTCCAAAATGATGAAAACAATGTTCCAAGGAGTCGCATGTACACAAAGCAGCACTGTCACTCTTTTCGTCGCATGCCGGGGTGAAGGCACCTACAGCCTATGTAAGTGAAATCATGATCGACACTCGCTGGTCATACAAATCTTTGAATAGTTACAGGTCGTAGGTCGATCAGAAAAGGATCTATTCTGCAATTCTGCAGGGTTCAGATTCGACAGTCAGTCAAGTATTTTCCACGGTCACTCAAAATGTAAACACTGGCTGTCCGCCATTTCAAACTGTTGCGTGACTGTAAACAACTACAGACTGCACTATCAAGAAAAATAAGTAGGTCAGACGATTCCATTATAGTGTGGCCAGGGGGTTAGAGTAACACGGCACGCAAAACAATAGGCTGGTTTCGGTCGTGTGGAGTTGGGATTATTTAAACCAAGCTCTAAGTTATTACATTATTGCATTGAATAAGCAGTAGTTAGTTTTCTTTGGACAAAATATTATATATGTTGCAATGTTTAAAACAATACGAACGGCACCTTCCACTCCCTTCACAGACGAGTTCAATTCGCCTCTCGCACCATGCCGGATTTCACAGTGTCTTCCGAGGAAGGAAGGAGTTCGATTTTAAATCGGTTATGGTAGAATGGAGATAAACGTATTGTGTTGGAAAATTAGATGAATGTTAGGCAGAATTGATAGTATTTAAATTAATCATTTGAAACCTCACGCTACGCGTTCGGTTCCAAATGAATTTAGAGACTATCAATTCTGCCTAACATTAATCTAATTTGCCAACACAGTACGTTTATCTCCTGAATGGTTCTTTTCTCACCAGTGGAATTTGCTGCATTTATCTGGTGCAAAATGTTTTACGTCAAAGTGGAGACAGTGTATTTGTTTGATTGATGCAACCATTTTTCCTGTGCCAGTTTCCTATCCATTCTGTCAAGATCTTTATCTTTACCTACAGTTTGTCTCTTTTGGTTTTGACATTCGACAGTCTTTGATGGTTTGTCATTGGTTGCCATGAGGACCATACGTTTAAGCAGAGTTCAACCCAATAAATACTTTCTCTTCTTTCAGTTGATCTAGTTCGGAATCGATTTTCTTTGAGTGGTGTATAATATTTTTTGTAAACACAATTATGTTTTCTCTTGATGCAGTATTCCCTTGATGCAGTTAAGTATCGTCTTGATGCAGTGGAAGAAAGCTGAACAGACAAAAGAGACTTTGTTTTCAAAGATCAGTTTGATATCGTAAGCATTTTTCTCTTTCGACATGAAAGAATCTCTCCCAAATGACAAACCATGCCACGAGGTTGTATGCGTTTATTAGAAACGTCAGAATACTCAATGGCTTAAGTATCGCTGAAACTACTTCTACTTCACAAGATGCACAGTCCCGCATTCAGTCATGAAGTTTCTCATATGCCTGTCATATTGCGTGGCTCCCGTCCTGACTCAAAGTAAGTTTCATCACTACGTTTGGTGTAATTCTTCAGAGTTGATAAGCAAATTATTAGTTGTTACTGAATGGGTATATATGTATAATTATGACAATCGTTTCTGTCAATGTATACTGCACGGCAAAGGAAACGCAACTTCTGAAAAAAATGAAATGTCATAAATGTAAGCGTTCATGTTTATGTCTTTTATTTAAAAACTTGTAAAAAAAAGAGTTGCGTTTATTTTGCTGTTCAGTATCTCTTGATGGTACACTCACATTGTATTTCAGTTGACATTATTAGTACAGATAACTACTTTGGGTTTACAATGTAAAGCCCAAGATTGAATTTTGGTTTCCCGTAAGAGTATATAATCTGAAGCCCATTTTTTTACGCCCGATGCCGTGATGTGCCCAGAATATTATGAAATATAAAAACACCGCCCGAGGTTGACAGCAGAAATATCAATAAATATTTTCGTACGTAATTCAAGAAAATCATCAATTGCATTGTAATCGGAAGTCGCAATGACGACATTAAATCCAGCCCTAACTAGAGAAATCTGAGGGTGATAGCGTGAGATGTATGTGACCACCAGTCACACGTTTAAACCACCTGAGTTTTTTTATGAAACACAAACGATATGTACATGTATACTGAACCACAAAAGAAACGTCGCTTTATAAAACCAAATGCAACATTTGTTCTTGCAAGGTGGTGTTTTTTAATATGAGTTTACCGTTTTGTTTTTCAATTCAAATCCATAGCTATTACCCGCATCAGTGTGTTTTCTGATGAAAAAGCATATCGACCGAAAAAGGCAGACATGGTAAAAGATTCTGTATGACATTCGTGAAAATGAAAATGCACGTGCATGTCGTGACAACCGTACCAATGAAACTGAGTCCCAAACTCTCCTGAAATCATTTTCAGGTGATTTTTTTTTACACAATCATTATGCCTGACTTACGAGAGATCAGATGAACCAAGTCTTGGGACGATTGCAAGTTGTCCAGACTGCACGGAGGGTAGCCAATCATTTAAATGTTCATGTTAGGACAATCTACCGACTGCAGGAGTGGTATCAGGCCACTAACAGCATCCAAGATCGTCAAGACCGACAGTTTGTGCGCCACCATCTGCAGGATCGCTTCCCCAAAGCGACGGAAACAGCACTCTATACTATTGGGACTAACTACAGACCTATCGGTGCTGATACAGTGCTTCGACGTTTGCGCGGAAAAAGCCTCTGCTGTCACCGACTCGATTATTTACAGACCGCCGCCATATAGCTGGGATACTGCTGAGTGCGTCGTAAAACTAAACTCACTCACTCACTCACTTATTCATGACATATAATATACATTGCTGGTTATGAAAAAACATATAAACAAAATTATAAGCATACAATCGCAAATCAAAAGTGCAATATTTTGTACCTTGGTTTACTTCCCAAGAAACGAAGCAGCCGGGATACCGAACCCAGTCAGAGCAGGTGGGTGTGCACTCGAGTGTAACGGCTGGATCATTTGCAGATGCCCCCACGGCTCATTGTGTGTGTATATATGGAGATGTTGGGTTTTGTAAATATACTGAGTCAAAAAAAGAAACTTCACAAAATGTAATTTGGAAAAATAATGAATAATTTTTCTCTGATGATACATCTATGTATCCGAAATGGGATCCCTATCTTTCGACTCTAGAAAAACGTTAGCAAAACCCACTCAAACCTCATCCATTCGTCGTGCAAATGACGTTAGTGCCAAATCAGGTTTTGCACTTGCAGTCGATCACGTGATCTTCGCAACGAAGTTTTCTTCATATGAACGTGTTTGCATTGGCCCCAAGAATTGAAAAAAACACACTTTCAAACCACAGTTCTAACGATACTTGAAATGCCACGATTGTCAAATGTGCAACGTGAACGTGCCGTTGGCATGTTGCAAGCGGGAAGATCAGTTATTGACGTCGCAAGAGCAATGGGATGCAGCCGTAGCACTGTGTATGACTTGCGAGGTCGTCTACAACAAACTTGCACCACTTCTGATCACCCAAGGTCGGGTCGTCCACGTGTGACGTCACGAGCAGAAGACCGTCAAATCGTCCTACGTCACCTACGTGACAGATTTCTGCCGGCTACACGAACCAGGGCTGAGATGTTTAGAGGTCGACTGTCCTCACAGACCATTCGAAATCGGTTGCGGGCTGCAATCTCCATTCTCGACGTCCATATCGTGGGCCAATATTGACGCCGTTTCATCAACGTCAACGTCTGCTGTGGGCCCAACGTCACCTCCGATGGACCCAGAGAGACTAGAATCGAGTCGTCTTAAGCGATGAATCCAGGTTTACCCTCAGATTCGCGGACGGCAGGCATAGAGTCTGGAGCCGACGTCGTGAACGGTATGCCCAATGTTGTGTACAGGAAGTCGACAGATTCGGGGGCGGAAGTTGCATGGTGTGGGGTACTTTCTGTGGGAACAACCGTTCCCGACTTCTGGTCATCCGTGGAAACCTCACAGCTGCTGCTTACCGCGACCAGGTGCTCACCCCTGAACTCGTTCCTTTCATGGCGGCTCATGGCGCAGGTCTACAGTTCCAGCATGATAATGCTCGGCCGCATACCGCGATGTTGACACGAAATTTCCTTCAAAAGCCTGGAATCAACGTCATGGACTGGCCATCGAGGTCCCCTGACCTTAATCCAATAGAGCACGTTTGGGATGCACTTGGGAGAAGGCTTCGTGGTATTAGGAACCAACCTCAGAAATTGCAGGAACTTGGCGCTGTCTTGCAAGAGCAATGACGCAGAATCCCCAACCACGTGTTCACAAGCATCAGGCAGTCGATGAGGAGACGGTGTTTGGCAGCGGTGAATGCGCGTGGCGGCCATACACGATATTGAACTGAGAAATTTCGCATTTTTATTCTTGTGACTTGACATTCTGTATACCCATGTTTTGGAACGGCGGTGTAGCCTAATGGAACTTATTATGGCACTGTCAGTGTATCGAGTACATCACACAGATCTCAGCAATGAAATAATAACAATTTAACCATCTTACCATCTCTTGTTCTTTTATAGTGCCCTGATGAAAGAATGTGAAGTTTCTTTTTTGACTCAGTGTACATGCTCATTTTTTGTGTATAACATTTTGCATTCAACAGACATCATAACATGTCATGTGTACAAGTATCACACATGCCTGTCTGTGTAATTACCTAATGTGACGGAGACCGAACTCGGGCCATAAATCAATGCGTATTGTTTATGGTGTACAGCCTGATAGTAGTTAAGTTCAAATTGCATGTGGTCAGTGATCGAAGTTGTGTATTGAATATTGTCATTAGCAGACGGGCAGGCAGACACATAGGTGCCAATAAAACAGACTTTGAGTTTTGTCTGTGACAACGACATAGCTATATCACAGTTAGAAATTCTGTCAACGCTAAATAATGACATTGCTTTTAAGTATCGAACTGAGAAAGTGACTTGGTAAGAAGAACGTGTGGTGAAATAGACAAATGAAATTATATAAACAGTTAAATCGGTAATTTACTGTAATAACATATAAAAAGCTCGCGCCTGTGAAATTTCAACAAAATATTAGAAAAATAGCTCAGACCAAAGCCTTCACCTAATATTCACCGGACAACCCGCTTCCAAGCTCCGCGTACGTATTTCACTGCGCATGTGCTATGGGCGCAGCCCAGCTGTTGAAACCACATCAATTCCCCCAAGCGCTGGGGGAAAGTTAGTGAATCGTTTGAACTACGATTTCGCGCGTTTGTTTTCATCGCGTTATTTTTCAACTTTATAAGTTGAATTTGCATTTTTGATGATTTGTTTCGGTACGTCCATACCGAAAGGTATCAGAATCTGCAAAAAAAAGAGTTGTGTTTTACGTTGCATGTGACCTTTAAGGATCTTGTTAGTACTGTTCATTTTCATAATTGTTAAATTTTTAAAAGAAATATAATTGTGACATCAATTTTGATGAATGGTTTGTAAATAGATAAATATTTTATTATTGGTTGTTTAGATTAGTAACTGAGATTGTTAATGGCTGTACCCTCAAAGGGGGTTGAAATATTGAAAATTATTGTCCTCCTGAGAGGGTACGTAAGTCCCATTACATTCATAGTACATTTAAATCTTCTACTATTTTTAATCGTAGCATATATGTTATTTTAATGTATGACTAGATTTATCTGAATTGCTAACCGCTGAAGGGAATGTAAATCCAGCTAGGGTCCATGCATGAACCACGAGTGCTGTAAGTCCCCATGGTCCCTGTCATGGTGATCTAACTTCAGTCAATATACAGCCTGTTTTTATATTGTATTGTCATCTATAGTTAAAATGTTTTAGTGTAAATTACTAGTTAAAATTTAAATCCTTGATAACCTAGTTGTTTTACTGTCCTTCGCTGACAGTTTTCTTTTTATAATTTACCTATATTTATTGTAAAATTATAACTTGTTTGTAGGTAGTCACGACATGGCTAAAATATTGCCGATGTGACTTAAAATCTTAACTCACTCACTCCTGTTTGATTTAAATGGGTTTATTTGTTACTGTTCCAATTATATATATTCAGAGATTAAGCGTTAGTCCAATAATGAGTCAGTGATTGAGTATCGTTTTACGCCGCGTTTAGCAACATTCCAGCCTTATCACGGCGGGGACACAGGGAATGAGCTTCACACTGCTAGTCCAATAAACACGCACCTAGTTCACTAAAGTGAGTGAGTGAGTTAATATTTAACGTCACATTGGCAATATCTCAGCCATATCGTGACGAAAACAACTTATACAAGATAAAGAGAAAACGTTTTGAAGATTAAAACCTGTCGACGATGGACAGTAAAAATACTAGAGAATCACAGATATGAATAAAACTAGCGAGCAAAGCTAAACCAGTTTAATTAAAGAGGACAATACAGTATAAAACACGGGCTTTTGATCGCCAACAACTGAAGGTAGATCACCATACTAGGAACCATGGGGACTTACATTA